ATTTCAAAAGCAGGCGGGCCATGCTGGTTTATTGGGCCAGGAAAAATTATCTCCTTCGAGCCCACACGAGCACACGTAACCCGAAGCTTGCACGCACGCACCGACATCTCGCTAACCTGGCCGTGCACAGTGCAGCACGGAGATCACCATTCATTCGCTTCAGCCCATGGCTTTGACCTAAGCGCAAAACGGAGGAGATGGCGATGGAGTTGTTTAGAGCCGGAAGTATGGATTCCGCAGCCGCGGTGCTCTGGGCCATGGACGCGCAATGACGGCCGTAAGCGTCGATCGAGCAAAACTCCAATCAAGTACCCAACTTAATGGTCACGGTGGAAGCACACAAAGGAGACAAAAGGAAGACAACCAAAAGCCCGCTGCAAAAAAACTTATTTTCAGAGGCGCTTTTCAAGGACGCCTCTCTCGCTCCCCCTTATCCTTTTCTCTCTCCCAATCGGATATGGGCACTCCTCCGACTCACTGCTTGAAAATGCTTCTCACCCGTGCCTCCTCTCACTATCGGACTCCACAGTTTTTGCCGAGTGTCCAAAACACTCGGCAAAATACATAAAACACTCTAAAAATGGTTCGCCGAAAGTGTAACACTAATGAACAAAGACTCGCCAAAAAATAGTGATTTGCAAAGCCAACTTTGCCGAGTGTCTTTATCGGGCACTCGGCAAAGCCTTTGCCGAAAGTGGCCGACACTTTCGGCAAAGTTGAAACCGAAAAACCCAAAAAATGGGATTTTACCCAAAAAAATGGAATTTTTTTTATCGATGGAGGCCCCCACCCACCGCCCACCCATCTCCGACATTTTTCGCGTGAATTTCATGGCTACGCTGTGACCGACGCGATTCGAACCCGAGACCTCCCGCTGTGCGCGTACCTGCTATACCACTACACCACACTCTCACTTGTGTCTGGATTCCGTTTTAGTTCCCAATATATTTTACTAAATCGAGTGTAAATTGCATGTTTGAGGCCCTAAACGAATTCAAATAAAAAAGTTGTAAACTACAAAGTTTCATAACTTTTCGAGATCTACACTTTTAGTTTAGGAAGTTTTTCCATCCGAGGTCGTTTACAAAATTTAAATTTTAAAATTTTCAAATTCAAACACAGTTTTGCATGACAAAATGTTTTCAAATCAAAAAATTGTAAACTACAAAGTTTCATAACTTTTCGAGATCTACACTTTTAGTTTAGGAAGTTTTTCCATCCGAGGTTGTTTACAAAATTTGAATTTTAAAATTTTGAAATTCAAACACAGTTTTGCATGACAAAATGTTTTCAAATCAAAAAGTTGTCAACTACAATGTTTCATAACTTTTCGAGATCTACACTTTTAGTTTAGGAAGTTTTTCCATCCGAGGTCGTTTACAAAATTTAAATTTTAAAATTTTGAAATTCAAACACAGTTTTGCATGACAAAATGTTTTCAAATCAAAAAGTTGTCAACTACAATGTTTCATAACTTTTCGAGATCTACAGAGTTTATTTTGGTTGTTTGGTCATCTGACATGGCTGTTCTAACATTGTTCACAAATCTTATATATCTCTCTTATAGTTTCATAAACTACCAGAGAGATATGTTAGATTTATGAACAAATTTATTTTCACTTTGTCGTATGAAGAAAAGACCAAAACAAATATTGTACATCTTGATGAGTTATACAACTTTGTAGTTGAAAACTTTTTGATTTGAATTAATTTACTTCTTCAAAATGTGCTTTGAAATTTTCTTTGCCGAGTGTCAAAAAAAAATAACACTCGGCAAAGAAGCTCTTTGCCGAGTGTAAAAAAAAAACACTCGGCAAAGAAGCTCTTTGCCGAGTGTTAAAAAAAACACTCGGCAAAGAGCCTTTTTGCCGAGTGTCAAAAAAAACACTCGATAAAGAGCCTCTTTGCCGAGTGCCCGGAAAAAAACACTCGGCAACGGTCTCCGGTAGTGTCTCCGACTCGTGGCGCGCTCCATCCACAAGATGAGCGCTGGCCCCTTCCCTCCCTCCCTCTCACTATATCGGTCTCCTCGCAAATCTAAGGAGACGGCGAGGGCTCACACCGTCTTTTGCTTCGTGTTCGCATGCCAGTTTGGAAGACGGGCGGGCACATGGCTTCGATCTGCGGCGACAGGCAGACCTTAATAACCGCCTGCAGAAACCTATTCTCTGAAGGCACGCAGCCAGCCAGCCTGGGATGAAGCCCACTTTTTCGGCCCACCCAATCATGGCACAGCCCAGTGGTTACCGTGCCTGGGCCATCTAGGCCCAATGACTAAGGCAGTGCTCTCTCTCTCTCTCTCTCTCTCTCTCTCTCTCTCTCTCTCTCTCTCTATATATATATATATATATATATATATATATATATATATATAACTACTACCCTGTAGCTGACTACAAAATAACTTATTCTGTAGCCATTTTGAGTTATGATAATTACTATGTTAATTTACGAGATTATAGTAACTCCTTACTAAGTGGTTTACTATAATATTATGGTAAATATCCCCATCTATTATAGTAATCCAACTATCGTAAATATGTATTGACATTATCATAAATTAGTATATAAAATTATTGTAAATGGAGGTGGCTACAGAATAACTTATTTTGTAACTGGCTACTGAATATACTCTCCATATATATATATATATATATATATATATATATATATATATATATATATATATATATATAGCCCTATCGGAAACGGGACACTTCCTCACGACTCGCAAGTGGCTCTGGGCTACGGGCTGGCCCGACCTCCAATTGCATGCCGTGCTTAATTATCAGGCAAGGATGGGCGCTCCGTTTTGGTCATCTATATCTGCAGCTGATTTCCTGTTCTGATGTAACAAACTGAGTGTGGCGTCTGAAATTTTAGCCCAATTGCTTCCAAAGCTAGCGGTGCCCACTTGAGAAGAAAATCAAGTTATCAACAGACCTTGTGGCTGTGTCAGAGGAGTGAGACCATCAGAGGTTCCGCACTGACTCACTCCTGTGGACAATAAATAGTTCACGGTCACTGGTGGTAAAGTGGATCAGAATATCTAAATGAGTGTTGGATTATGTAGAATAGGAAACAAAGGAAAACAAAGATGAGCAATTTTAATGAGCTGTGGTCCTAAGTTTATGCATAAATTTCTAAAACACTTTTGTCTTTTAAAATTACTGAACCTGATGGAACTTGAGGCGTAGCGGCCAAGCTGGAAATCTGCACACCCATTTTTTATTTTCTATATTTATATCTTTGATTATTTTTTCTCAAATATTCAAAAGATTTGCATATCCTTTTAATTAAGGTAGAATAGTTTCATATAAACGATGCACTTCTAACAAGCGCCTAGGAGGTCTACATCATTACAGCTTGGTGCCGGACCTTCGTCGTAGCTCTAAATTTCAAATTTTGATATTAAATATATAGATGGTAGACAACCGAGAAAGTGGCAGCCACCCAACCTATGAATTGGTCTTGTGCCTCTACTGTCTGCGCGATTCAATTCTGACATCCGAGAAGCTAGAGTGCGGCAAGAGTTTCGACATTGTAATCGTTCGGCCTAGCCTTGTGGAGCTTCTCGTAGGCCTTCCTTCCTGACGCACTTAATTGGCGTGGACAAACCTGTGGCTAAACCCATCCGCTGCTTGATTAGGATCTCATCTCACTTAGAAGCAGGCACCCGAGATAGGCACTGTGCCACTAGACACTTGCTCTGCAGCGGTAGCACCACCTTTGCAAGGGGCAACAACTTGGGTGGTTTACGAATTAGCGGGGAGGTAGCCTTCCGTAGAAATCGCTTGGTGAAGTTGTCGATTTGGCGCGCGGCGGAGGAGTCATTGCCCACGTCCGCCGTGAGGTCGGCCAAACCGAAGCCTGGCAGGTAACCCTCTTCGTCCTGCGTGGATACAGGAGTATCCGATTGGTCGACCAGCACCCACCGCGGTGGCGTGTCCTGTGCCTGTGCCTGCCCCGACTCAGGCGACATCAAAGGCGAGTCCGCTGTCCACTTAGTGGGGCACGGTCGGGGTGTCCGTAGCAGCGACTTGGCTTGCTGGGTCGACGTCTACGGCCTTCGCAGAAGCTCACAGGTGCACAAATAGGCGACCTCCACCGGGGCCTCAACTTCCCGCTGAACGGTAATTGGAGCTGCAGCTGGCCGCCCTAGTGGTGGGCGTGTGACGATCCGATTGTCGGCAATGCAGGATGCGAACTCCTCCAGCATTGGGTTATACGAGGCGCCTTCACCAGCGGGCGTACCATTAGGCCACGACACTAGTGTCAATGGGTCAGGCGTGAGTAGGCTCGACCCATTGGCCATCTCTCGCCACTATCGGCCCAAGCAGCTGTAGTGTCGCCGGATGAGTCGGTCCATCTTGCTGACACTACGTGAAAAACGGTTTTTTAGCAACGGAACAAATTTTTTTTTTAGGGCGGTGGTGATGGAGCCGCCCTACAAAGGACGCTGCTTCGAAATCCACGAGACCGGTAGCCTTTCTGAAAATGGAGCAGTGGGCGGCGGTGGTGATACACGAACCGCCTCTGAAATAAATCGATTTGTAGAGTAGGCTCTCATTCACCCGACCGCCTCCGGAATTGATATTTGTAAGGGCGGCCGGTGATTGAGCCGCCCCTACAAATACCCTACCTGCCCGAAACCAGTTTTTTCCGCAGAAGCCAGCCAAGTGCGCGCTCCAATCGCTGGTCGTGACCCACGTATCAGAGACAGCAGTGTGAAAAAAGAGAACGCAATGGCGCAGGAGGGGAAAAATTTTCCCATCCTTATCCTCTCACGCCATCCCCCAACCAGTTGTCTCCCCGCCGCCCGCGCACTCGGATAAGGGCAGTGACCCACCCAAGAGGGCGCATCCGCCGCCGCCGCCGCCACCTCACCCCCACCCGCATCCGCCGCCGTCGCGTCCTCGCGACCCGTGCGCAGCTGCCACCGCCGCGTCCTCCCGACCCGCGCGCCGCAGCCACCGCCACGTCCTCCTGAGTCCAGACCCATGCGTAGCAGCCACCGCCGACCCCGCTCGCTAGATATGAGTGGTCATGGTGCCGGGACGAAGGCGAAGGCACAGCAACGGTGCTCCAGCAGCCATGGTGAGAAATCAATCTCTCTCTCTCTCTGCCAACTTCTTCCTCTCAGATCTACTCAGTCTCTCTCCTTCAATTAGCAGAGGACTTGTTACTTCGTCGCTGGGAACCGGGTGTGGTGGCCACGGCGATAGGACTCCTCCACGAAGAGTGACCGGCGAGGCTACAATCCCCAGCAACCCAACCCCCCGGGTGAGCTCTAGTCCAATGGCGCTACAGCATAGGCAGGTTTCTATGATTCTCACATAATCTATTGTTCAAATCTCTAGTGGTACTATGGATATTCAAGTCCCAACCTGCGCAAGGTGCCCTCTCTCTTACCCTCTCTCAATCTCCCTCTCAGATCTGCTCTCTCTTTCCATTCCTTCAAAGGATCTATGTTCACAGTTGCATAAAAATGATGAGATCGATGTTTTGGTTTAGAATGGAATATGGTCGTGTTGATATTCTTGCTGCTGTCTACTTTATTCTGCATAAAAAACGAAAATTAGGTCAATTTTTCCAGTATGTTTCTATGAAACTAACATCCTGTCATAGAACAACTCAATGATTTAGTGGAGGTAGTCTAACAACTTATGTCAAATATATTCCACCTTGTACTAATTTCTCAATCTCATTGATATGTGCTGCATGCTGGGTTTGTATATTATTTAACAGAGTATCATGTGCTCCTGATATCTTAGGTTTCCGAGAATATTTGGAGCTGGAGTTCCACAACCATATCTATCATGTACAAGCATGCTCCCGTGCAGGTATAAAATAATTTTTCCTCATTTCTTGTAATTAGCTCTTGTTGTTGCCTTTAAGTTTTAAGTACTTAATGTTACATGCCTACTCTGATATTGCAGTTTTACTAGACAATAGAATATTCAGTACGTTATCCAATGTTATCCAGTAAGTTGTGATCAGATCAGCTTGAATTGGAGCCAAGCTTAATATTACTTTCTGATGTTTTCTCCAATTTAGATGTTCATTTTTGTGCTGCCACTGGCTGCATTTTCTTGATCCGTGTGACATGCTAGATCTGTGAATGTGGAGCTGGGGTCCATGGATTTTGCACCAATACTACCTTTGCTTTGTATTTTATATGACAACTTCAGTGCTGCTGCTTTGAGTATTGTGCCTGAATGCTAATTTATTTATAACTGTTTTGCTTAGTGCTTAATGCTCACTCTTAGTTACTAGTTCTAACTTTTAAGTATTGTGTCCACTAACATGAATTGTTTTTCCTTTCAATTTACTGTACTTTAACTATACATCCAAATTAGCTAATTACTTTAATGTTGTACATGTCTGAATGATGGAGAGGACTATGACATGGGGGCTGCACAGGAGAAGACAACATCGACAGGATTAATATCAAGGTATGCCATGCTTCTACACTACTATAGGATGTAGCAACGGTGCATTTGTTAGAACAATATGTGTTCTTTATTCCTTGTTGACATCTAGCATCTCAAAAGAAGATAGCTATAATATATGATCTGATCCACTGGCTGCATAAGTGAACTCTGCATATAGGTTACAGTGTTAGTCAGACCTGGTAAAATGAACTCTTGCTTTCTCTTTTACAGATTCTATCTTATAGTAAATTTGTTTATACAACTGACTTCTGAAGCACTATTTCGGGTTGGCTTCTGAGTGTAAGTTTGTTAAATGCCTTCAAATTCAACACTACTTTTACCCTTTGCTGCTGTTATCTCTTTCTATTGGCTAAGTTAGTATTTCTGTTAAATTGGTTGATAATTTGTATGTGTCCCAAGATTTAGTTTTGCTCCATTAATTAGTCATTGTCTTGCATAGAGAACAGCTTGGATCATCTGTAGTCTATAAGGCCTCAGATAAGAATGTGTGAAATTTAGCTACTCCTGCTTTTAGAAAGCTATTAACCTGTCAATGAATTCGACAACCTGATTTCTCAGCGATGCCAGAGTGACTTTCTAATGAATTTGAGAAATTCATTAGTAATGAGTCATTTGAGTAGCTCTTCCCCCCCCCCCACCCCCCCATCGGTATGAAATGAAATTCTAACTCCACACCACTTGAATGACAACCATTTCTTGGACTTTTGTTTTAATTTTAAAAATATATTCTCACACAAGCATTAATTCCCATTCTGCAGCATATTACTTACAGTAGTCCAGGGAGTTCATCTAATAGCATCAAGGGTGATGCTGACAGGAGCTTCTTTGTTGAGCTTTGGGATGTTTCCGGACATGAAAGCTACAAAGACTGCCGTTCACTTTTTTATTCACAAATTAATGGTAGGCATTTTCTGCATCATTTTTCCTGCCAATAAAGTAATCCAATGCTGCATCTTTGCAGAAGTCATTTTTTTTTTCTGTGCAGCTATTTAAACTGTGTAATATGAAACAATATCCCCTTTGAATGATATTTCATCTTCTCAGCTAGCCAACCATACTTGTATGAATATAGGGAAAGAAAAAACCATACATTTCTTGCATTTCTTATATGAACTTTGTTACATTTTGTTAAATCAGCGTGAAACTACCTGGCATGGTATGTCCACAATCTGAAACCTTATTGTCCAGTTTTGCCCAAGTTCCGTTTGATTTGTGCAGAACAAGAACTCGTCCTACTTTGTGGAGTGGATCCCGAACAACGTGAATTGTAAATTTAATTTTTTTTTGGCCGAAAAATGATTTGCAGGGGCGGGTGGTACTGTAGCCGCCCCTACAAATCTATTTGTAGGGGCGGTCTGGGAACCGCCCCTACAAATGCATGATTTGTAGAGACCCTTGCGTAGGGGCGGCTGGCCGAACCGCCCCTACAAATGCACTGTAGCAGCCCCTGGAAATGATATTTGACGTAGTGTGAGACGCCGTCCACGGTCTATCGACAACATCTTCTATGGCGGTGACGCCGCCATCCGCTAACTTGCGTAGCGGCTGGTGGCATAGGCATGGCTCCACTCGTGTCCGAGGTGTGGTCACGACGGCCCTGTGAAAGATGGAGAGGTTGACAGCTAGCTGTTAGGATCGAAATGTGTACCTCTCTGTGTGTAACCGGTAGATCCGGGGAAGACATCATCCTTGTCTTCTCCGTAGATGCACCACAGCGGGTAGACGCCATTGCCGCGGTAGCTCCGGCTCGGTGGAGTCCAGAGTGGTGGTGCTTGCAGTGGTCCCGGTGGTGGCCTGCAGCAGAGGCGCGACGCATGGTGGCGGCTCTCATCCGTCATTGGGCAAAGATCTCTGATGGATCGGTTTTAGGGTTTCTGTAGGTGGGTGTGGCGGCTCCGGTCAACCTCGTTCTCCGAGCCCTCATCCCCACCTTCCTTTTATGTGTGCTGTGCGACAGGGGCCCACCAACCGGATTAGGGTTGGGCTCCCCCGATCAGGGAGCAGAGATAAGGGCCCAATAGACCGTTGGGCCTATTGGTGGAGATCAACTAACATTCTCCCCCTTGATCTCATTCCATCTTTCACTTTCATATCATTTACTTTTGTTCATTCCATTACAGATTAGCGTATAGAGCATGTCTCATCGTCACGGTCCATTGCCGATAGATTTAACAGCTACAACTTACTACTCTATTCTGAAATAGATACTTATCTTTGGGCCTTTTTTTGTCCAGGAATTTTATAGGCTTTCCCTTAAACCCATGCTAGCTACATGTTCTCTGAACATGTTGGGTGGTAATCCTTTCTGTTCTTATATGCTCAAGACTTATGACTTGATCCCGGACTTTATGTTTCACAACATAATACCCTATGTCAATGTGTTTGGCAGCACCACTTGACTTATGTTGTGAGTATCTTGTCTTTGCTGATTATTATCGCAAAGATCACTTAAGTGGTCTATAGATGTCGCCAACCACCTTCAAACCGAAAGTATGAACTTCTTTAGCCAGCCCCACCGCCTGCTGCCTCATATCACGCTACAAACCGTCATACATTGTGGGCGATGTAGTGACGGTTTGCTTTGAGCTTTTCCATGAAATAGCTCCCTTTGCGAGATGATAGAAAATCCACGTCCCTGATATGCATTCACTCTCGCATAATCGTAATCTGAATATCCCACCATGTGGAGTTAATCGATCTTCTATATATCATCATGAGGCCTTTTCGCTCCTTGCAAATAATGCAAGACTTTCTTTATCAATTTCGAAGTTCTATTCCGAATTGCTCGAATCGCCAAGTAAAACCCAAAGAATAAATACTAAGTCGTATGCCGTACATACTTGAGCATGTTGCAAGCTTCCGACAGCTGAAGCATATGGAACCACTTTCACTTTATCGATTGAGCTCATATTGGTTCCTAGGGCATTGAAAATCCCCATATCTATTGCCCTTGACTATATGAGTAGGTGAGGGACTATATTTGTGCATACTGAATTTCTTTAAGATCTTTTCCATGTATGCCTTTTGTGACAGTCCTTAACCCTATTCCCCACATCAGTTCGGAAAAGAAAAAACACGGGCTCATTTCTTTCTTTCTCACCAAAACCAAGCAAAAAAGTGGCTTTCGGCCATTGTCTGTCTGCGACGCTGAGCCACACCCAAAGCGCAGCAACTTTGGGCGGTAAACAAAGTGTTGCCCTTGCGCTTCTCGGCCTTTGGGCATAAGTTGGCCCGCTCTATCTCGGCCATTTATCCAGCATCGGACGGCCAAGCGTCGATTTCGCTCGGTTAAAAACCCCGACGCTGCACGCCCGGGAGAAAACCCTAGCTTCATTCTTCCATTTGCTTTCTCTCTCTTCTTCGCCGCTCTCTCCTCTCTCTACCTCTCTCTCTTCTCAGCGCAAGGACAGCAGCCACCGAGGGCAAGACAGCGAGCGAGCGGACAGTGGAGCGAGGCAAGGCGCCGTCGCCGGCCGCTCGACGGCGGCGTGCTCACCCGGTGGGTGTGGCCGCTCGAAGGCAGCATCTCTGATGGATCGGTTTTAGGGTTTCTGTAGGTGGGTGTGGTGGCTCCGGTCAACCTCGTTCTCCGAGCCCTCATCCCCACCTTCCTTTTATGTGTGCTGTGCGACAGGGGCCCACCAATCGGATTAGGGTTGGGCTCCCCCAATCAGGGAGCAGAGATAAGGACCCAATAGACCATTGGGCCTATTGGTGGAGATCAACTAACACTAGCGCCACCAGATGCACTAGAACTGCTACGAGCCGGCCCCAGCCATCGCCGCTTGCAGTCACGCGCGAGGTGTGGGAAACCCTGCTGTGTAGGCAGTGCCGAGGCGGATTGCAGGTCGCCACCCTATGCAAGGAAGAGACACAGTTGAGACACTTCCCATGGAGGTCTATCGGATAGTGGGCATAGGGCCGACGTTCCCCGAACGTGCAGGACGCGCAGGGCATGCGCCGACGGAGCCACCTAATGGCCCCCTCGATAGGACCTCGCGCCAACCTTCAACTTCCGGAGTGGAGAAACGTTTCCAGGCGCCGTAGTGCGGTCTGAGGCGCAGATGGGCTGGCACGTGTTGTGCAACCTGGCTGATTCTGGTGTCGGCCTCGTTGCCTCATGGACAGGACGCCCATGAATGAGCCGCGGGCGTGGTCCATGATGCTTGGTGCTCTTGCGACACCCCCGGGCGCTCGCCTCAGTGGCTTCGTCGCCGCAAGAGCGCCTCCAACGATGATGGAGCGCTCACTACTACAGGAATGGTTTCTAGGGGCGGCTGGTGAGGTTTTGTAGAGGCGGCTCGGCCAGCCGCCCCTACCATACCGTCTCTATAAATCATGCATTTATAGGGGCGGTTCCCAGACCGCCCTTATAAATCGATTTGTAGAGGCGGCTGGTGTTATGAGCCGCCCCTACAAATCGATTTATCGGGGCGACTGATAACACCAGCCGCCTCTACAAAATTGATTTGTAGGGGCGGCTATAGTACCAACAACCCCTATAATACCTGTTTGTAGGGGTGGTTCAGTCTAGAACCGCCCCTACAGTATATTTTTCCGCCAAAAAATTAAATTTACAATTCAAATTCGACCAGAACATATATATATAACTACTGTTCTACAGCTGGCCATAGAATAACTTATTCTGTGGCCACTTTGAGTTACGATAATTACCATGCTAATTTACGAGATTACAATAACTCCTTACTAAGTGATTTACTATAACATTATCGTAAATATCATCGTGAGTTGTAGTAACACGAGTATCGT